ATCTCCACCCAACCTAAAAGAGGGGACTTTCCCCCATAGACCAAGCTGAGAGGGGCCACCCAGAACCCCCTCTGACAGGCGACCTGAATTCTTGCTTAGGCTGCGAGGCTAAGCACTGCAAAGGAATACCAATAAAAGTTAAAAATATCTCTCTGGGTCCCCTGAGGGACAAGCCTGACTGCATAGGGGTTGATGTCAAAAGTATCCCCTCTCCAGGAAAAAGACATCGGGACGGGTATGGCCCTCATGCCTCACTGGATGACAGGGGGACCGGAGCCACTACAAGTCCCTTTCAATTACTGGAGGTCAGGCCTCTATCCCCACCTTCGCAAGATTAGATTTGTCACAGCCCTCCTATACTTAGGGAAGGGAGGAGATGTCAGGGGCAGCCCTGATTATACACTGAAGGCCTAAAATCAGCCATAGGCCTAAAATCAGCAATAGACCTGTCATACATGTATACTAACACCAAGTCTTGGGTCTCTGTGGATAAACACTGAAACAGATGGCTATAAGCTATTATAAACAGGCAGCTTTTGTGACAATTTACCAGCCTGAGTAGTCATAGACCTTGTAAATAGGTAGCCTTGGCAGATATTACCAAGCACTAGCGAATCATAGGCAGAGCCGTAGCGACCTGTCCCCTGAACCCTTACCCAGCCGATACCCTGTTCTGAAAGATAACTGTACTCCACCTGAACACCCACGCTCCAGTGTCATCCCCTTCCCCACATCCTGCCTTTCTGTGTTTATAACCCCTGTGTGAATGAGTATAAATTACAATTTGAAAAAAATAAATAAATCATATTTAAAAAATAAAAATTAAAAAAACTAGCTAGCATATGCTTCCCCCCTTTTTGTAGTTCTGGGGAATCAAATCCATTTCCCTGTGAATGTTAGTACCCACTCTGGTACTGAGTTGTGTCCCAAGCCCTGTGAGGAGTTAAATGGACCCTAACATCCAATCAGTAACTCTGTAGTTTCCATTAGGATTTTTATTTCCCAACAGGAATAGATCTCCTATTCAGATTTTCTTTTTCAAAGACAAGGATTCACTATGTACCTTGGCTACCCCTTGGCTCACTATGTATACCAAGCTGGCCTCGGACAGCCTCTGCCTCTGAGAGCTGAGACTGCAGGCACAGGCCACCGTGCCTTGATCGTATTTGGGTTTAGTGATCACTTGCATATTTAAAAATTAAACAAGTGTGGCATGGCGATACATGTAATTCCAGCATACAGAAGGCTGAGGCAGGAGGATTGAGCATTTGAGGGCAACCTGAGCTACAAAGTATGGCCCAAACTAGTCAAACAAATGAAATGCCTGAGCCTCTTTTTTTTTTTTTTTTTTGAGACAGGGTTTCTCTGTATAGCTCTGGCTGTCCTGGAACTCACTCTGTAGACCAGGCTGGCCTCGAACTCAGAAATCCGCCTGCCTCTGCCTCCCAAGTGCTGGGATTAAAGGTGTGCGCCACCACTGCCCGGCTCCTGAGCCTCTTGATTCTCAGAGAAAGTCCATTTTCTTCCCAGGCACACATATCTTTATTCATGTATATGTCAATATGGAGCTCATAATTTACCTCTTTACATAATTTGTTTTACGTATACCAATCTGCAATTTACTTTTTCAACTTATAAGTCAAACTTATGGTTCATTATTAACTTATGTTTAATCTTGATTGTCAATTTGGCAAGATCTAGAAACACCTAGGAGACAAACTTCTGGGGACGTGAGGGAGTTTTCAGATTAACAGAGATGGGGAGACCCTGCCAGCTGTGGCAGCTCATCCCATGGGCTGGGGTCCAGGACTGAACACACAGGAGACGGCGGACTGAGCATTAGCATTCATCTCTCTCTGCTTTCTGACTGTGGTAAGAGACCAGCCGCCTCCCTCTGTTGCCATGGTCACCTTGCCCTGATAGACTGTGCCCTCGCTGTGAGCCAACAAAGTCAGCCTTCTTTAAATTGTTTTTGCACAGGGATGGGGAAAGTAATTCAGAGGTTGAGGCTGGAGGATTGCAACTATAGCTAGAGGTGCAGAGGTGGGTGGGAGGTGAGGACAAGGGATAGGAAGAGAGTAAAAGGAACCTGATGGTGGTATGCTTCTAACCCCAGCACTCGGAGGCAGAGGCAGGTGGAACTCTGAGTTCCAGTACAGCCTGGTCTACAGAACAGGTTCCAGGACAGCCAGTGCTACATAGAGAAACTCTGTGTCCGAAAGGGGGGGGGTAGACAGAGAGAGGGAGACAGACAGACAGACAGACAGAGAGAGAGAGAGACAGACAGAGACAGAGACCAGAGACAGAGAGACGGAGAGAGACAGAGATAGAGAAGGAGAGAAGAGAGAGAGAGGAAGATGGGAGGAGAAAAGAGGTAGTTGGAAGAGGAAAAGAAGAGGGAAGGAAGAGATCCTATTTTTAATTCCTTTGAGTGTTTACCCAGAAGTGGAATTTCTGGATCATATAATTCTATTTTTACATTTTGAGGAACGGCTGGACTGTTTCCCACAGCCGCCGACTAAGTTTCTATTCCCAAGGATCACAGTTTCTCTACATCAAGGTCAACACTTTTCTATTTATCTTTGTACGATTTTTAATTAAAAAATTATTTATTTTACGTGTTTGGTCTGCATGAAGTCTGTGTACCATGTGTCTATCTGGTGACAAAGGATGCTAGAATTGGCATTGGATTCCCTGAGATTGGAGTTAGAGACAGTTGTGAGCTAAGATTCAAACTGGGGTCCTCTGCCAGGGCAGCCTGAGCTCTTAACTGCTGAGCCATCTCTCCAGGCCCCCATTTTAGTGTAATTGAGACATGCATTTGCCATGTAATCCAGATTGGCCTCAAACTTCTCCTGTGTCAGTCTTCCGAATACCAAAAATCACAATCCTGTAGCACTGTGCAAGTTTGCTTTGTAACAGTCACCTTTGTGGGACATGAAGTTATAAGTGCTTCTGGGGTTTGTTTGTTTGTTTGTTTTGTTTGTAACACAAGACAAGCCAGAAGCGGGAAAACAATGCAGAGGTAAGCACGGGGCCCTGGACTTCAGGCTTGATTCTCATCCCAGTTCCGATACATTGTAGTGTGTGACTCCCACACACATACCCTGGGTTCCGCTGCCCACTGTAAAATGGGTGTGGCATTCACATAGTTCTCTAAAGTGATAAGACTCAGGGTCAATCACAAGGTCAGCATCGATCTGCTGATCCCCAGCGCTCACATAGAAAGCTGGTGTGGTGCTGTGTGCTTGTAATCCCAGCTCTGAGGAGACAGAGGGGCAGATCCCTGGAGCTGGCTGGCCAGACTGCCTGCCTGAACTGGAAAGCCTCAAGTTCCAGTGAGAGGCCCTATCTCAAAAACCCAAGGTGGATGGCACCTAAGGATGACATATCTGGCTTCTACATGCATATGCACACACTGAAACCCACACCCCTAAACACAGGCATGCACATGTACACACACACACACACACACACACACGATTTAGTATTTGAGACACAATCCTGCATAGTCCAGGCTAGCCTTGAACTTCTTCTTTTTTTTTTTTTTTTTGGTTTTTTCGAGACAGGGTTTCTCTGTATAATCCTGACTGTCCTGGAACTCACTCTTTAGATCAGGCTGGCCTTGAATTCAGAAATCCGCCTGCCTCTGCCTCCCAAGTGCTGGGATTAAAGACGTGTGCCACCATTGCCTGGCTTGAATTTATTTTTATTTGTATGTGTCTGTGTGAGTGTGTGTATTTATGTATAAGTGCATTTGTGTGTGTTTTATGAGTGTATGTGTATGTATGTAGGTATGTTGTGTATTTATGTGTTTGTGTGTTTATTCGTGTATGTATATGCATGTGTGTGTTGTATTTATGCATATATGCATATATGTGTATATTTATGCATGTATGTATATGTATGTACGTGTGTGTGTTTGTGCATGTGCCTCGGTGATTGTGTTAGAGTACAACTTCTTCTTCTGTGTGGGTTCTGGGGATTGAACTCAAGGTAACAAGTGTCTTCACCCACTGAGCCAGCTCATCAGCCCAAGGGTCTGTGTTCTGTGCCTTGAGCCACTATTCTTACTTCCCAGTGCTTTGGAACGAGAAGGCTTCCGGCTGGAGAGAGCCTCTCACAGCTCCTTTTCAAAGCTAGCCTCCTTGTTCTTAAAACTCAGCCTATTAGAGTAAGAAACAGTGGTTGTGGTGAGCTTTTGAATGAAATGTGCAGAATGGAGGAACGCTGATGTGTTTACAACCCCGTATCCCCTTACAGGGCAGCTCCAGCCATCCCACAGTCTATTTCTCCTGAATCTGGCAGTTCCCACGGGGCTGAGAATTCTCTTTATGAAGGACAGACCATCTTGACTAAGGGTGCAGGTTCTTATTACCGTTCTTTTCCTTGGGAAGTGGGGGTGGGGTGTTGTAGACAAATTGCCAAACCAAATGGAGTTTGAAAAGGGCCCAGCAATCTGTGTCTCAGGGAGACGAGCTGGCTGCTGGAGGTGGTGACCTTGGAGACACAGCTGTGCCAGGATAAAGCCCGGTTGGGGGTGGGGGGTGGGGGGAGGGGCGTCCTGGATGCTCCTTCGATATGTGAAAGCTGGCAGTTTTGTGGGAACAACTAGAACATTCCAGAGACCACAAGTGTTTGGTGCCAGAGTCTGATTTTAATTCCCCGTAGCCCCTCTATACAGACAATAAAGTGAGGTTTCTAGGTTGGACAGATAAACCTCTATGGGCCTGGCCTGCCGTCTTCTCCCTCTGAGCTTAGGCAGACTTCAAAGGAGAATGGAGTGTCACATGATGGTATCTGTGTGTGTGGATGTGCATGCACATATGTATGGGCACACGCAGGTCTCTGTTGTCTCCAGGGCTCTGTCCTGGTCCCAAACAAGTGGAAGCCTAAATCTCAGCCTTCTTTCTGCTTTTAGCCGGATAAATTCCATGGAGTGCCCCACCCCATCCCAACCCCCCACATCCTTCCCACTTGAAAAAGAGACCAGTCTTGGGTTCAGGCTGTGCATGGGATTTATTCACACCCCGAGCAGGCAGCCAGGAAGGGGGACAACAACCATGCCCCACCAGGGACACCCAGCACTATTTACATAGGCTGTGTGGGAGGGACTGGAGTCCTCACTGACAGCAGCTGCATTTCTCCGCCTCTGCCTTGGCCCCCTCTTCACCTTTGCACACACAGTCCTTGGCACACTTCTCACATCCGGCAGGGCAGCAGGAGCAGCAGCCTGCAGATAAAATGAGTGTATGTGTGTGTGTATGTGCCCAGTCTGATGCCGGCATCTGTCTCCATCAAAGGGGAGGGGAAAGCAATATTGGAGGCTGGAGAGTCATCAGGCTTTTTCCAGGACAGGTGGCTCTCCCCTCATACTGCCACAGCAGGTCTGACTCAGCATCTATGGTACTGCAGTGGCTGCCGGGGCCTCTGTAGAGGGTCACCCTATAACTAGCCCACAGCTTCTTGGGTGGGTACTAGGCAATCCCCTGGGAATACTGGGCTCAGGCCTGGGCCAGAGGGAGAGTTAGGTCTCAAGAAGAAGGCAAGCCAATGTGAAAGGTACTGAGAGGGGACTTACAGCAGGGGAGGGGCGGGGATAATGTTGAGACCAGCAAATCCGTGGGATCTATGCATAGCCACACAAGAAGGGAGCATTGGTCCCACCTCCATACCTCACCCCAAGCATATTACATTGCTGAGATCTGGAAAGAGCAAACTAAGGAGACCCACAAGGCCTGAGAAGGGCCAAGCCACTTCACCTCTAAATCTGACCCGCCCATTCTTCCTTGGGGATCCCCAGGCCCTGGAAAAAGAATGGGGGCTCAGCTCTCAAATCGGCTACCTTTTGATAGCTCTGGAAAATCATCAAAACATCCCCCCCCCGCGCTGTATTAATATCGGTTGCAATATCTGAAGGTATCTGAAGGTCTGCTGCAGGAAGCTTTGCTTCATAGTGTCTGGTGGGGGTGGGGTGGGTGCGGCGGGAGATTACGGCGGGGTGGGGGTAGGGGGTGCACTCACTCTTCTTGCAGTTCGTGCATTTGCAGCCCTTGCACTTGCATTTGTCCGAGCAGGTGCAGGAACCACCTAAGAGGGCACACGAAGGATTATACTAGGGAAACCCGGCGTCCCCATACCTAAACGAAGGTTATCACCATCACAGGGTTAAAGATGGGGGTGGGGGGAAAGGACTCCTCCCCCAAATGTCCTTGAGTGAAGACAGAGGAGTGGGTTCTTTGCCAGTAAAGGGCAAAGTGCCTCAGGCTGGGGAAGGGGCTCACCAGTAGGACAGGGGCAGGTCTCAGGGTCCATAGCTAGGCCAGTAGCCGCGAGAGACTGTAGCTTGGTTCCTCCGGGCAAGCGGATGCGCTGCGTAGCTAGGGCAGCAGGTGGCAAGGCTTTTATAGCCCCAGGCGGGGGCGCGCAAGCAGCGACTTGGCGTCCGCCCCTGCGCACGCACAGCGCCTGCTCTCTCTGTGCACTGCGGCAGCTGTCCGGAGTCCTTGCTGAGTATAAGACCAAAGTAGCCTATCCCGCCCGCTTTCCGCTCCCTGCTACTGTCTCTCTGAAGGTGCCTGTGCGTACCATCTTTGCAAGTTGAGAGACAAAGTAGTATTGCCCTTTCCCACAGATTCGTCTCCCTCTTATCCCAGAAGTCTTTATCAGTTTGGTCCAAGTGGGATGCTGAGCAGTGAGCCTGCTGCTGACTATCACAGCAGCAGCAGCAAAGGTGCTCCCAAGATCCCTGAAGAAGGATGAAAAGTGGAGACCTAAGGGATCAGCATCTGCAGCTCGGTGGGAGACACATGGCCTTTTCTGGCCCAATATTTCCTATAAAGTCCCTCTACAGAGCCCTGATCACCTGCTTAGCCCAGACTAAATTTACAGAGACATCCCCTAGGGACCATCACTCTCTCTTTGGCGACAGTTCGAGGTTGCTTCTCTTTGTTATTGAGACAGGGTCTTAAGCAGCCTAGTCTAGTCTCAAATTTGTTATTCAGCCAAGGAAGACCTTAAACACACTCTCTCTCTCTCTCTCTCTCTCTCTCTCTCTCTCTCTCTCTCTCTTTCTTTTCGAGACAGGGTTTCTCTGTATAGCCCTGGCTGTCCTAGAACTCACTCTGTAGACCAGGCTGGCCTCGAACTCAGAAATCCACCTGCCTCTGCCTCCCAAGTGCTGGGATTAAAGGTGTGCGCCACCACCGCCCGGCGACCTTAAACTCTTAATTCCTTCTGCATCTATCTTCCAACTGCTGGGACCAAAGGTGTACACCACCAGCCCCGGCTTTTTTATTTTATTTTATTTTATTTTATTTTATTTTATTTTATTTTATTTTATTTTATTTTATTTATTTTTGAGACTGGGGTATCTCAAACTCTTAATCCTCTTGTAGCTCAGGCTAGCTACCTTGAACTCAGGACTCTCCTGCCTCAATCTCTTTAAGTACTGGGATAAAGAACGTATAAGACCATATTTGGCCTCAGGCTTAGGTTGTCACAGGTGGGGTGGGGTGTGGTGGGATGCGGGGGTGAGATACCCAGCTCTGCTGTAATTGTCCACCAGACAGAACTGAGCTTCTATTCCAAACCTGAGCTGGACAAGTGGCCTTCAAAATGACTTGGCCAAGGAGGAGTGTGTTGGGGTATGTGCCTGTGTGCTTGCATACACAGTCCAGAGGAGGACTTTGGTGTCCTTTATCACTCTTTGTCTTACTGATGGAGTCTTTTACTGAACTGGAAGCTTGCTGGTCTTGGACCCAGCTCTGGAATACTAAGCATGTGCAGTCATGCCTTACTTTTACGTGGATGCTGAACATCCTAACTCGGGTTCATACGCTTGCATAGCAAGTGTGCTTACCAACTGGGCTCTTTCTCCAGCCATCTAGGGTCTTCCTTTGTAGGACCAATACCTGTAGTCCTTGAGGTTAAGTTTCATTGGAGTTAAAAAAAGAAGGGAGAAAAGAAAAAAGGGAGAGAGGATGAGAAGGACTTAGGGAAGAGATGGTGTCTCCCTCCTGTGCCACTGAGCTTGGAGCTGGAGCTCGTTCTAACGGTGCTGAGTCATTCAGATCTCGGGCTACAGGAACTCTGGCACTGGCTTTGAGTTTGTTTCTGTCTGCCCTACATGTGCTCGGGCCTCACACTTCTTTGCTTTAGGCCTTGGACCTCCACGGCTTATACAGCTTGGTTGACTAGGTAAGGCTTGCTGGCTTTCCTCGGGGGCTTTCCTGTCTCCAGTACCTCAGCGCAACACTGAAATGAAATGACAGAAGCATACTGTCACCTTCGGATTTTCAATGTCGGTGTTTGGGATTGAATGTAGGTCCTTATGCTTGCGTGGAAAGCATTCTGCCAGAACACACTTAGTTAATAAGGAAAGGAATGGAGGAAGCCTTGCTGACTGGGTTCATTTGTCCTGTGACTCAACAACTCACTAGACATATTGGTGGCTTGTATGGTTCAAGGGAAAGTGGTAATAATATTCGTCACCACTTTATGGATTCCTGGGGACTTTAAATGAGGTGGCAGAGCTCCAGCCACATTGGCTCTGACCAGTTATAAACAAGCATGTCCTATGTGACCCCTGCTTCATAGACTAAGCTCTGTGCTTCTGGAATAGGGGTCTGTAGGCATGAGCTTATGTGTCCCTGGGTCATCCACAGCAGGCTTCACTCCAAGTCCTCCCAGCAATCTGGGATAAAGGAGCTTATGGAAACTTACCTTTTCAGGTAGACTGGGCTCAACAAGCAGAAACAGGTAGGCTGGGGGTGGGGTGGGGGTGGAGAACAGTTGGGCTCACACCTACCAAGAGATGGAAAATCCCCCGATGATCTCACAAAAATACAAGGAGCCAGGTGAGTCCCACACCCTGGCTGAAGTTGATCCAGAGCTGGATTAAGATTTCTTTATTCTCAGAGTTTCCCAGTTTACTCTCCTGGGACTGAGCCATTGGCCAGGGTTTCAGGAACCTTGGTAAAGGATGTTCATACGAAAGAGCACTTGCACATCTGCCTATCTGCAAATGAAGTCTTTTCTCAGGGTGACCTGGGGTGTAAATGGAATGAATGCAGGAGAACAGTTGTCCACAGGGCAGCTGAAGCTGGGGCGAGGAGTACTAACAGGTACTTCTGTGGACTTAGGAACCCTCAGCCTAGTTTGCTTTCACACGGGTTCACCAAATGACTGCTAATGGCTTCCACGAATAATGCCTCCATTGTGGGGAGCTCACTGTATGCTAGGTACCCTATTGTATGAATACCATGTGGAGCTAAGCATGCTACATAGTTGTGTGAGGACTTTCTTTTTTTTTTTTTTTGGAAGATAATTTTGTAATTATATCTATGTACAGAAAACTTACTGTACATTTTTAAACCCATTTTAGTGGTGAGTTCTTTAGCCTTTGCCTTTTCCAGCTTAGCAATGTGAGCCACAGACTTAAGACCCAGGACATTGCCTCCCCAGTGGCGGCGGATCTCATCATATCTGTCATTATAATTGGTCCTAATAGCTTCCACCATCTTAGCCAGAGCACCCTTGTCTTCCGAGTTAACCTGTGTGAAGGCAACAGTGGTGCATGTCTTCCTGTGGACCAGGCGACCCAGCCTGGCCTTTCCCTTGATGATGCAGTAGGGCACACCCATCTTTCTGCACAGGGTAGGCAGGAAAACCACCAGCTCAATGGGGTCTACATCATGGGCAGTCACCACCAGCTGAGCCTTCTTGTTCTCCACCAAGGTGGTGACTGTATTGACTCCTGCTCAGAGGACAGGTGGTCTCTTAGTTGGGATGTCCCCTTTGCCAGCAGCTTTCTTATCAACATGGGCCAGTAGCCTTTGCTTCTTCTCTTGCTTTGTCTCTGGCCTGTACTTGTGGGCAAGCTTAAGCAGCTGAGTAGCTGTTTGCCTGTCCAGGGCCTGGGTGAACTGGTTAACAGCAGGAGGTACTGGAGCTGTTTATAGAGAGGATGGCTCTTTGCCGCTGCAGCCTGATGTAGCGGGGCCATTTAACGAAGCGTGTTAGATCTCTTTTGGGCTGGATGTCCTGCCCAATCTCAAAGTTCTGGGCCTTTTCTTGAACAGAGGATTGACCACATTTTTGATCTCCTGTTTCTTGACAATGGTGAGGGCCGGTTCTACCTTCTTCCCCTTGGCCTTCGTTCCTTTGGGCATCTTGCTCGGCTGGAGGAGAGAGCCTGTGAGGACTTTCAATGGTGGAATTTTGGTAACTGAAGAAACTGAGGCCGGGAGAAATTAAGTGACTTGTCCCAGAGGCAGATTTGGGACTTGAGTCTGAGTCCAGCACTCCTCAGCCTGCCCTGATAGATCTGTGTTGGTGCATTCTGAATTCCATTTATCCAGTCTCTTAGCCCATGGCCTGAGCATACATAACTCTGTATGTGGTTCCCATAGAGAAAACCATCAGAACTCCAGCCCTGTGTATCAGGCTCTTGACTCCAGGCGTTCCTCATCCTGGCCCAGGGTTCTTTCTGCTATGTTAAGGACTCAGCTCTCAGCTTCAGGGAGCCAGGTTGTAGCCTAGGCCAGTTGTGAGCTGTAATAACTAGGTCCAGAATTCTAGTCATTTTGGCCACTCACTTGATGATGATGCCACCAAATGATGATGGTTGTGGTAGTGATAATTTCTTGTTTTGTTTTTTGTTTGTTGTTGTTTTTTGTTTGTTGTTGTTGTTTGTTTGTTTTTGTTTCCTGAGACAGGGTCTCTTCGTGTATCCCTGGCTGTCTTGGAATTCGCTCTCTGTAGACCAGGCTAGCTCTGAACTCTGAGGGCTTCCCTCCCACCTCTGCCTCCCGAGTGCTGATATCAAAGGTGTGTGCTACCATGCCTAGCCTGTCACCAGATTATTGATGTATATGAGGTTTTATCCTTGAGTTAAAAAGTGTTCCTCTCTGCCTCCTTGCCTGTCCTGTTATTCACCTAGGGTTGGGGCAGTAACTCTGACTCCTGGAAACTCATGTCCTAGGTATTTCTTATTTTAGCTGATTAAAAAATCAGAGACAGCGTGGATCTTGGCCAAAGTCACATGACAAGAGTGAAGTAAAGCTAGAATTTGACTCTTGACTCCAAATCTGGTTCCAACGTCTGCAAATGATACAATGGTATAAATTAACCCTGAATCACTTGATGCTTTCTGGACCAGTCTCTCGGGTTGTGTTAAGGAAGTTCAGCTCGGTGCTAACTCATCTTGTCGGCCTCTCTCATGCTGCCTCAGCTCCTCCATTGGAACACACAGAGGCTGAAGAAGCCAGGAGAGGGACAAGGGGGAAACATCAAGAAGCCACAGCTGGTAGTTAGAACTTTGTTTCTTTCTCGGTATTTATCTCCATAGTTACTCCCTTCTTCTGCCAAATGACTCAGTGTCTCCTCAAAGGCAGCGACACAAGGTTTCTTTTAAAAATAAATTTCAGTATGACACTAGGTCAGCTGCTGTGTGATTATAGCTAAAGTCAGGTGCTTCTCAAAGGACAGTGGGCAGGGAAGCGTGGTC